CGGGGCGGGTTCGGGGTGGGGTATCCCCGCCCCGCCCCGCCAACCCGTTCGGGGAGGGTTTTTTTGCCCCATTCGGGGCGGGGCGGGGCGGGGCGGGGAAAATTATCATCTCTAATCCTACTTCATCAACAACTTACAGGAGGGTTTGGACGTCATCTACATATTCCTTATAAATATTAGACTCTTCTATACAATTTTATAAATGTGAGAAATAAATTAGTCTAATTATTGGATCCATTGTAATTTTCTATCTTCTCCATTATTCTTAAGTTAATAAAATATTTTAATTCATTTGTCATATTTATTGTCTTATTATTCTTTTGATTGATCTAATACTTCATTATTTATCACATAATTTCAACATCTCAATCTGGTGATTTGTTACACAGCAAGTGATATTAGAGGTATTCTAGTATCTTGTTTGTTTTACAACACTTCACAAAGATAAGAATATATTACATAAATGAATATATTCATTTATTATAATTAAATGATATAAAATAACTAATAAAGGAAAATGAATAGAAACATCAAATATAATAATACTTTCTATAATTTTTTTTGTGAATCATCCAATACTTCTACCACATCCAAATATTAACGAATAACTATAGGGTTTAATTTTAACTAGGATGTGTCTAGTTTTAATTGGGATGGCTAAAATTTAAATTGATTTACTTTCAGATTTTTTTTTTTTGTAAACGGTTTAAAGGTTTGAAACGGATTATGAAGATTGAAATCTAAACCAAACAACATCAAAGCGGTATTGTTCAACTCAAAACCAAAACATTGACGGATTCACTTGGGCCCAAACTGACAGTTTCAGAAAAGTAGTTTCAGTTCTATTTTACGATTTGACGATTTCTTCGTTCAATCCTAATTTTTTTCTTACATACTACTTGGCTTCACAATAAATATACCCAAAAACTCCCCAAAAAAGGGGGGACCGTTGAAATTTTGGTAAAAAAAAAAACTAATGTCGACATTTTAAAATACTATCTACTTTGTGAGATCGACATTTTGGCATCGTTTGATGGAAAATTACCATAACTACGAAGGAGGGCGTGTGAAGGAACATGAAAAGCAAAGAGGAAATGGTGAAGCAATTCAAACAATGATGAAAATCCAAGGAGAAGCATGAGTGAAAGCCATGTTATACTGAAAGAAATCACACAACAAAGGAGCAATCGAAGAAACAACAAAGCAGATGCCCGGTTAACCTGAACTTTGACAGAAATGGCCGCAACACTTGCAGTGCTTTATTGAAGATAATGCTACCATAAGGTAGCTCTTAATGCGAGAGCAAAGACCTTCCAAGTCTGCCAGTGTTTTTAGTAGGCTGGGAGGCCCCTAAGAGAGACTAGGAAGAAGCTCCACAAGAATCTAGACGAAAAATTGGCAAACGGAGGCTCATCAGTCCATAAAAATGAGAATCGGGCATCTTCCTTCATTCATGCTGAAGGAAAGAAGGATCAACAACTCCATGATTCCCTCTAGAGGAAATTGACGATAATGATGAGTATGGGCCTTCCTCCGAGGGGATTAAAGCATTGGAACAGCCTATTGTTGCGTTCTTTCTATTGCAAGTGTACGATATCGTAACAAATAGTAAAGTGGATCTTTGAGTCCGGATATCGTTCCCACGAGGACTAAACTTTTAGTACTTAATATATTTTTTTTACTAGTACTTGACAAAAATAGCAAATAAAAAGATGAGTGTTGTGAGAATAGATTTTCCTAAATCAATTAAATGCCTAAGACTATGGAATCGAAAGCAATGGGAATTATGATGAATGACAAACACAAATGATTGAAATTTCACGTATATAGAATGTATTAGGGTAAAACCACTTCACTTATTGATCACCTTAGTTCCAAACTCAAGATTCTAGCCTAATGTAGTGTTCAGTCGAATTCTCCTACGGTATTCAACTTACCCCTCTCGAGTTCTCGTTGAGNGTTCTAAGTCTCGAATTCACCTCTCGATTCTTAAGAAACTCAATAGATCATTAAATTAGTGGCCAAATAATTTAAAGCATTGCATTCATATCAAAATCAACACATGGAATAATAAAAACTCAGAAATTCTTGAATCCAACAACTAAGGGGTCGTTCTCTTTGCCGTTTTCTGTTTTCGATTTTTCAAAATGGTGAAAACGCGTTCTCTTGCTCATTTTCGAAAACACAAAAAAAAATTCTAAAGAAAACAGAAAACGTCCAAAACTGTTGAAAACAGCCAAAAAGCAGTTTTGGACGTTTTCTTCACAAACGCAGCACCAAGTTGGAAAACACGGGAAACGGCCAAAACACTTCCTCCTCTGTCCAAAACACTTCCTCTTTTCTACTGCCAAGCCACGCTCCACCGCCACTTTCCAAGCCCCTAAACTCCCAAACAAAGAAAGAAAAATGTGAAATTACAATGAGTGTGATCGACATTTTAACTCGGGTGGATGCGATCTACAAGAAGTATGAAAAATACGACATTGAAAAGCAGAAGGATTCCAACATCGTCGGCGATGACGCATTCGCCCGCCTTTACACCGCCGTAGAGTTCGACATCGAGGCTGCTCTTCAGGTATTAAAATAGAATCCCTAAATTTTCAATTTCTTTTGAATCTATTTGAAAAGTACTGCTGGAATTTTGATTGTTTATGTTTTATTACTTTGATTTTGGCAGAAAGCGGAGACTGCTTCGCAGGAGAAGAGTAGGGCGTCAGCTATGGCGATCAATGTGGAGATTCGGAGAACGAAGGCCCGGTTGTTGGACGAGGTCCCTAAATTGCAGAGATTAGCTGTCAAAAAGGTAAGATTCAGCGTGATTTCTTTTATTCTCTTAGTAGATTCTGTTTTCCAAGTTTTTTTTTATTCAATTTGGTGAGCTATATTGAATTCAATTACTACATTGGTCATACTTTTTGTTTAAAATTATTTATTACCACCTTGTCCTTGTCATGTTTATAATACCATTTGCTGGATTTTAGCTGGGTATGAGTTCGCTTTTGTATATGTATATTTATTAATATTAGAAATGTGTTTTAATTTGGAATTACAACCATCTGAGTTGAGCGCAAAGAACCTTTAATGGAAGGCAAATTTGTCGGATGCTCAATGGTCTTTTATTTAATTCAGTATTCCATGCATGGTTTGATGTATTTGAGAGTTAAGGTTGTCTTTAGCTGATGGTAAACCCATGAATGTGCAAGTCTCATTTGTATTTTTACATTTCTTAAACTGATCCTCTCCATGTTGCTCTCTTTTAAGACCCCCAATATAAAATTACTTATAACCTCTAAATCTCAAAGCTTCTCCACTTGATTACTTTTGTTTCTAGCACCTTTTGATCTACAAGTTTCAACATTAATGATACTTGGGACATAAAAATCTACATCTATAAAAGAGTGCAATCTTTTTGTCTTTAGTGGAGAAAGCAAAGACTAATAATATTGAATGGTCTAAGGTTGACTAGACATGATCTAATTATTGGAGTCTGAATAATATATGTCCAATCAGGTCTCTGTGGTAGCTCTATAAAGTATTGAGATTTAATTACAATAATTATAATAATTTGGACTTAATTGTAATTATAATGAATTTTTGTACTTAATTATAATTATTATTAAAGTGATAAACTTAATTATAATTGTAATTGAAGTTCTAGGACTACACATAGAATTAAATGTAAATTAATTGGACTTGGACTTTAATTAAAACTCATACTTGAATTTTAATTAAGACTCCTATTTGAAATTGGAATCATTATTGTATATGGATTGGAACATCTTCATCTCTATAAATAGAGACTAGATGGACCTAGAAATTCTACAACAATCATAATACATAATTTTATAGTATTCAAATTTGAAGAGAAAAAGAAAGAGAAATTAAATATTTTTCTTACTTACTTCATTCAATTATGTAATCCAAGAATTAGTTTTTAATTTAATTAGAAGAAGGTGTCCACTCATTGGTGTAGTCTTCATTTTAGAGAATACCATAGAAGACTTGGAGGCTTTGAGCATCAAGTTCTTGGAATTAAAAATGTCTAAAATCTTGTGATCCAAGAAGTTGGAAGTTCGTGATTCAGAATTAATTCAGAAATTAATCATCGAATTTAGGTAAAAAAATTCAAATCATTTATTCTTGATATAACATACACGTGAACATCTAGACAATCTTGTCTATTGAATTAAAGATTTTTATTTTATTTTTTTGGATAATTCTGCTTCAGCATTCCAACAATGTAAACATTATCGATTTCAATGTTGTTATCTTAAGAATTGAGGGATTCTGGTTGATGTGTCTGTAAATTTAATGCATGATATAGCTGAAGTCCTTCTCAGCACGATTGGAGTCGGAGAAGGTAATGTGGTGGTCAACTTAGATAATTAGGCCAGAGAAGACTACTCGAAGATTGGTTGGACTTCTTAAAATGAATCGGTTAAAGGTTCTTTATGTTATTTACAAGAATTAAATTACTATAGTCTACTTATTAGATAAATTCGCAACATCCATGCAATCACAACCCCATCAGAATTGACTAGTAACTACTCCACCTGCTCCCACTAATCCGGCCAGCAGCTTGTTTCAATTCATGCTAATTTCCAAAACAGGACGAGAGATTGAGAAATCTGTACATGAAAAGATGGCTAATTTCCATTAACTAGCAAATGCGTGCTCAGAATTTGTGAAAATAAAATTGACAGAATATTCACATTATGCCTAATTTCGATTAAGTAACAAATTCAATTAAACATGCAACAGGTTTTGTTACGGGCCTATGTCAGACCCGCCACCTCGCCCGCCACGTGTCCACACCCGTGGCCCAAGCCACGCACCGGACGAGGTGATTAAACCAAAGAACGAACTGATTGTACATGCCGAGGTGGTTACATTAGGAACGAACTGAACACGCGTCAGCAAATGAATCGGACTCATCCATAAGTACGCAGTGGATGCAAAGGCCCGCACTCCGCTTCTACCACGCTGCAACGCTTCACCTGCCACACCTCGCCTCCACGAAGATCCTTTGTACAAAGATCTTCCCAAAGTCAAATCTCTGACTGATGGGACGTATGGCAGGTTCTCAAACGGTCAAATCAGCAGCCTGTGGCTAAAAACATTTAACACCAGTCGACCTATGGAGGGACAGAGTGACGCCTAGGATGGGACAAGCCCTAAGGATCCAGCAACACGTGTCCCCTCATCCAATGGCTCTCCTCCTTCCATCCTTAGTATAAATAACCCCTCATTGCGCCAAAGATGGGATTTGAATCCCATTCTCCCCTACGTATTGCGAAATCAAGTATTATCTTCTCCCCTATATTTGTCAATTTTATCGACACTATATCGATCATTCCCCGGCGAGTGTTCTACCGCCGGTGAATCCCTTACCGGTTGAATATAAAACTGACTTGACCGTCGGAGTGCTTGCGGCCGCTCCCACCCCCTCCGGGAAAGGCCACGAGTGACTAACGGCGTGCTACGTGTACAGGAAGAGCTGACTTGAAGACCTATCATGTTGGCCACGTGTCCGAGCCATTTTTCGAGGTCAACAGGTTTCATTATGAACACGTATTTAAAGTAGATCGGATTGGATGTCTTATTCACTCTCCTGTGATATTGTCGTGATAGCAATGTTTGTTCAATGTGTTTTAAGAAATCGTAGGTGGAGAGTAAACATCAGATGATTTGAGAGATTTATTTTATCGATCTTAAGCCCCTATTCGATAATCATTATATGAGAAAAATAACGTTTTGAATAATGACTTTAGGGGAATGAGTGGTTGAAAAGTAGGGAGAATTTTGAATTTACGCGTAGAACATTTTATTGTGTGAATGTATGATTGAAAATGAGTTTTAATAGTTGTCAAAGACGGGCTAAATACATCTCATTAAATATAGGCAACTTACAAAAATACCCCTAAAATTAGGGGTCTTTTGAAAAATTATATGAAAAGTATTTTGAAAGTAAAAATATTGTCTAAAATTAAGTGTCACTTTTTATTAAAAAGTGACGCAATGTGACACGATGTCACTTTTCCAAGTAAAGTGTTTTTTTATTAAAATTTTATTAAAACAATTATGTTTCACTGAAAAAAATGAGAAATTTCAAGAAAGTAATAGAAAGAAAAAAGAAGTAAAAAGTAAGGTGAAAAATTAAGTGACACGATGACATTTTTTTATTTTTAAATTAAGTGCCATTTTTTACTAAAAAGTAACATTATTAAAAAAAATGATGTTTGTTACTTAAAAAAATTACAGAAATTTCAAGAAAGTGAGAAAAAAGTGACAAGCACCGGGAAAAGTGACAGAAATTCAAGTGAGACTTTTTTTTAATTAAAAACTAACATAAATAAGTAACAAACAATGTCACTTTTCTGTTTCGTAAAAATTTAATTTTCATTTGACACGTAGTCATTGTTTGTAATATAATCCTCATCATTTTTGTCTTATCTCTTTTTTCTGTAGCATTAATATATGGAAGAAATTCAATAAAGTGACAGAAATTCAAAAAAGTGAAACACTCCAAAAAATTACGAATAATATTTAATACCAATCAAAATCTTAGAATAGATGCATAAGATGGTTGATTTTCTTTTGCATATTTTCTCCTTGTAATTACGTTTCACTTCTATTAATTAATATATTAATTTGGATTTGGAAGTGCTATTCAAAAGTAATGCATATTTAAAAAAGTGACAACCTCTAAAAAAAGTGACAACCTCTTAAAAAAGTGACAAATAATATCGAACCACTCTGCCCAGCCTCCTTCATCCCTCCAACTCCGCTCCATCAACATTCAGCCCCCATGTCTACCGTCTATTTTTCCCACTATACCTTCGCTCGAATCTCACATTTCGCAACTCCCAACATTCTATCATTCCATAGCATATGAGTAGAAATACAATGTTGTATTTCATATTTAATAAAATGTTGTGAGACTTTTAAATTAAAAAGTAACATGTTGTGAGAAAATATTGCAAATGAATTTTTTTTCCCAACTTTCATAAAAAAATGGCTTATCAAAGGGGCATTACTCTTATTCCAAAGACAATGTCATATCACAATTTTTTTATAAAAGTCACATCACAATTTCTTGCTCTACTTTCTCGAAGAATTACTTTTTTTCTAAATGCAATGTCACATCACCATTTTTTTTAGCATTACGAAACGAATTGGAGATAAGATCTGAGTTCAATACATGATGACTCGTGTTAGGTTTTGATTTGATTTTAAGTTTACTATTTCTCTTTACCAAAAATAGCATGTGTTTAGTTGATTCAGCACCAGCAACTACTGCTTCAGCAGAAAGAACAAATGCTTCAACAGGATCATCTCCGGCAGTCAATTTCTGTTCATAAAGCTTAAAATATGTTTACAAAGCTTGGAGTCAAATGAATATCAAATCTCTAAACATGGTAATCACGTTTATAACCTCTTTGAGAACTGACAATGCTGGAATAAGAGCATCCAATAATGTACGATAACCTGCAGTGGCTCCACCATATTAAGTTAAAATTTTAAGTTAGAATTAATAATTAATTTTAATTATATTTTATGGAATTCAAAAATTTTCATTCACACATTTCATCAATTTTTATTAAGTCCTTTAGGGATAGCAATGAGGCGGGTATTCCGACCCCGTCCCATCGTGTATTTTTGTTACACTGTCCCATCTCCATACCCAATTAAAGCAAGACGCGGCGGGTTCATGTCCATTGTCTCATTTATCGTCCCATTTGTTTTTAATCTATTTTATTTCTTTAGTTAGTAAATATTATTGCTTTTTTACTAATTCGTTAAAAACAATTTATGTTCGCTTTAATAATGATGATAAAATCTGAATTTTAATTCTTACCAAACAAGGACTTGGTGATGGCAAAAAAAAAAAAAAAAAACTCATTCAACCCGAATGGGACGGGGATTACCCGCCTAACCAGGTAAATGGGGGCAATTGTCATTACCTCGAATTATGGGACGGGTATGGGAAACATAGTCTCTACTCTGATACCCGTCACGTTTAAAATTAATTTCAAATTTAAGTTTTTCATCGGCCAAAAATAATATATTTATCATCATTATTAAAGCGAACATAAATTGTTTTTAACGAATTAGGACTTAATTAGGACTCGTGTGTTTTAAAAAAATGAAAATCAAACAAGGGCTTAATTAGGACTCGTGTGTTTTCTTAAGAGTTAGGGCCTTAATTAATTATTGTAATTAAAAGAAGTGAGAGTAAGGGTTTTATAACATCCGCTGCAGCAAAATTAGCTTTGGTTTCTTTTGTTTAATTAATATAATTTAAGGATATCTTTCATTTTTTGACATTCTTTTATGAATCATCGAATCTTGATCGTCAATTCTCAATATTTGTAAAAAAAATTAATGTATTTTTTATTGTGTTGTTCGAACGAATATCAATTCATGTACTTCACCATATAAGATTAAAGAAAGAAAATAAAAAATAAGAAAAAATAAGTAACGCTGTATACATATTTTACAAAGGCCTTTTGGACATATATGACATGAATTTAGTTGAACATTAATTTATGCAGTAATTAGTTGCTATCTATAATTTATTATGTTATTAATTTATTGAATTATTAATTAGCATGTTGGTTAAGAAAAAAAAAAGGGAATCAAGTTATTCACTTTCTAGAGCTACTAAAGGGACCAATCAAACTTATCTAGTTCAAGTTCTAATAATTAAACTACAATCAAGACCGTAAAGTATTATTATTAGCTTCGCTCATTCTATTAAAGGAGCAAGACGACATTCTCAAATTATATATAATTACATACGCAATAAGTCCTTGTAATTACATTCTCTTAGCTCGTCATCTTTATCTCTTACCCTGTTAAATATCAAATACTTATATTTGAGTTAAAATGACTTTTTCATTCTTCTAATTATTTTCTCTGTTGAATTTGCATTTTCTTCAACCGTTTGGTCTAATCAAATCACATTATGTATTTAGTCGTTGCTAAATACTAAGTTTAGATTTAAAATATTTTAAAGAAAATACTTAAGTGAATTCATTTACACATAAGACCAAGTGACGACTTTTACATAAGACCAAGTGACGACTTCTATATGCATTCATGCTTACTACTTCACGTACTATGACTTCGTAATGTGCTAAGGCATTTGATCATTTCTATCGATCTAATTCAATATTATCCTAGTTTTTGGTATTTTTAGTTCCAGTTGACCCACCTTCGGGTTGTCCCGATTAGGAAATATGATGAGGGCTAAACTACAAACGCTGGTATACACATATTTTAACTACATTGACAAGGTAAATATGGATGATTTGAACTAAAAAATCACGGTGCTATATTATTAGGTGTGATGTTATACGATATCGTTACATGACCTATCTATGATATTACATGCGCTAATATGATTTATCCATATAATGTGATATTTTGGTGAGCATGATTACTCTTCTATGACATGCATTGTTATACTGTCATTCGTATTGGACAATTAAATTGTTGATCATGATTGAATTCCTTTGTAGCTGTACCATATTATTCTTTGCTTCCGGACATATATACGTGACATTAAGATCAACCGAGGATAGGATTTTGGAGGTATGACACGGGATTTTGTGTCAGCACGGGCGGCCGTGGATCGTTGACCGTTGTCAGCAATAAAATATTAAGAAACCCCTTTGATGCCCATTTTTTGCAAAAAGTGCATTTTGGAGTAGTGGTCTGATAAAAATATTTGGTTAAAAATAAGAAAAAGTTTTGAATTTGAATATAATATTATTTTATTGAAAAATGTGCGATTGAAAGAAGAAAAAAATGTATTTTGAAGAAAAAAAAGGAATCAAACAAGTTCTAAAAATTAAATATAACAATTATTTTGTTGTAAAAATTAGCAATATTCACCAAATAATATTGTGACCTAGTTTTGTATAATTCAAAGGAAGAGTATGTGTTCAAATTTTTAGAATTGCATTAAACCCGCTACAATGTAACANAATTCAAGAAGTGCCAAAATAGTCAAGCTCTCACTATCCTAAGGAGGGGTCACGGTTTCCAATAACCTCTCCATCCCATTTAATCTTGGTAAAAGGTAAAAATTAAAGTATTAAAAATCTTACGCAATAAAAACAGTGGGAAAGAGATTCGAAATCGAGATCTCCTGTAAGAGTATAAGAGCTCTACCCAGTTGAGCTACAAGAAATATTTGAAAATAAAACAAATTACCAGGTATATCATCTAAAAAGTTTATTTATTGTCAACCAAAAAAAATTGTTCCCGACGAATCCAGCACGGGTGACCACAGGGGCTTGTCGGGTGCTGGGTCCGCCCCTGGACACGGGTATATGTATGATTTGAGGTCTCTAGTATCCTTGGGGACTATGAATACGCATGACCAGCACACATATATAGGTCAGGTCTTGTTTATATCATATTTATTTGAGTTAATTAAACGGTAAACATCACAGAAAATAAGTTTGCTGCACTTGACACATCTGGTAAAACCATTTTTCATGGGTACTAGATGTTAATATCCATCTTGTCTCAAAAGGTTTGGGAGAGACAATAAAATAAGGAAATAAAGAATCTTTACAGGATCGTTCAAAAGCACTCATCTTCCTTCATCATTGTCTTCACGATGAATTGAAGATTGAATATCTCACTGAGAAAGATTGACTAGTTCTTTGAAAAAAATTAAATGAAACTTTTGATCATCAGAGAATTATAGTCCTCCCCAAAACCTGCTATGGGTGGATACACCTTTGTTTGTAAGATTTGAGATTATTTTATTCTCAAAAGTCGAGATCTGCTTTAGTGGGATATGCAGATGCAGGTTATCTCTTTGGCCCACATAAAGTTAAATCACAAACAGAATACGTGTTTACACGTGTAGGAACAGCTATATAATGGAGATCTGTGAAGCAATCATTGACATCAACATCCTCAAATCATTCTGAAATTATTGCAATCCATGAAGCATGCCGAGAATGTGTATGGTTGAGGAACATGACATATCATATCCAAGTATCATGCAAATTAATTTCAACAAAAGATAGTCCAACAATTTTGTATGAAAACAATGTTGCTTGTATTGTACAACTTAAATGAGGTTATATCAAAGGTGACATGGCAAAGCATTTTTTTTTCAAAATGCTTTCATACACATGAGTTTCGGAAGAATGTCGACATCGATGTTTAACAAATTCGTTCGAATGAAAATGTGGCTAATTTATGTACAAAAGTACTGCCAACATCTACATTCAAAAATTGGTTCACAAGATTGGAATGCGTCAACTTAAAGATTTTCAGTAATCAACATTAGGGAGAGTAGTTGTACTCTTTTCTTTCGTTTAAGTTTTATCTCACTGGGTTTTCCTAGAGGTTTTAATGAGGCAGTATTTATTTTTAATACTCCAAAATAACTGTACTCTTTTTTCTTCGTTTGATTTTTTGTCTCATTAGGTTTTTATCAAACAAGGTTTTAATGAAGCAGATATTTTGTAATGTGTCATTCAAGGAGGAGTGTTGTAATTGGTAAGTTTATTAGTGAATTACAACTGTATCTCTACAGTTCTAGACATTATTACCATTGTATCCCTAATCCTGCTATATAAATATAAGGTTTTGGTTTCAATTATAATACACACAAGTTTATTGATTTTTATTTTCTTTCTTTTTTTTTCTCTTTTCATAAAAATATGCATTATTTTATTTATTATGCCCCTAACTGATTTAGTTAAAAATAATAATGTATTTTTAGTAGATTTTTATAAAAGTTGATAAAATATATTGTTAAAAAGTTAATGAAAGTTATGAATTACTTAAATTTGTTGTCAAAATCAATTATTAACTTTAATTTAATTTTTTAACAACCTTTTATCTAAACCAAACCGATGATATATGGTATTTAAATAATATTGAAAAGGGAAAACGTAATAATTAGATGTCTTGAATCATAAAAAATTAAGATTTGACTTTATCGTCTTGCCATGATGCGTGCCATTCAGATATCGTCTTATCATAACGTAATATTATTTGCTTATGTTGACATAATATTGGACCCTACTAAATCAAATTTTAGTAGATTTTGATAAAAGTTAATGAAATTTGTGGTTAAAAAGTTGTGGGTCCAATTAAATGTATGGTTAAAATTAATTTTGACTTTAATTTAAATTTAAATTAATCATTACAAATAGGGACTAAATAAATAAAAGAAAGAGTTAATAAAAAAATTAGGAAGTAGAAAAAACCACGTCACAACACCTAAAAAATGTTAAAACAACACAATTTCAAAGTATGCATTAATTTATTTATTATCCCCCTGATTGATTTAGTTAAAAAAAAAATATTTTTAGTAGATTTTTATAAAATTTAATATAATATGTGGTTGAAAAGTTAATAAAAGTTTTGAATTGCATAAAACTAAATCGTGTTTCATGTGTTGGAGTATATTATTCCCTCTTTCACCAAAGAAGAAAAATCATAGATGGAAGAAAATACAGTTCAAGTCTGATAAAATATTTATTTATTTCCTCACCACCTGCGTGCATCATTGGGAAATTATTGAAAATACCCAAAATTCAACCATACTCTTTCCAAAATAGCATTTGACTTTTCCAAACTTTGAAACTACCTAAAATACTCCTAAAGATAGTAATTACATCCAAGCAACCCAAAATAAGAGAAAAATACAACAAAGTCCTAGATTTTAAAATGACTAATAAAAATTATAAAAAATCTAGAACTAAAAGAGGACCATACAAGCACTACAACAAAAATCGGCTTTTGCAACGTTTGAAAAATGTTGCTAAAACCTTTTTGCAACGTTTTTGCATGTGTTGCGGGCTTCAGTGTTGCCGTAGACCATATGGATACGGCAACGTTTATACAACGTTGCAAAAGCAATAAAAAAACGTTGCGGAAAGTCATTTGCAACGTTTTTTAAACGTTGCAAAATAAAAGTTTTTGCAACGTTT